TTCTCCCTCCATTTCCCTTTATCAGTCTTACTCGTGCTTTCTCTTTTTGATTAGTGTATTCAAATGACTAGCTTCTGGTTGTGATTTTTTATTCCTCTACTTTCTAGATTATTTATTTCCTCCTATCTTGACTACATCCTGGTTGAGAGACTGTATCTGCTTCTACCTGCTATTCTAGGTAATGAAGCTTTACACAGGCCATCTCACAGGCTGGGATCACATTTTCTTCCAGTCTGGCTCCACTATTTACTTCACTTACATATAATTTGAGAATTAGACTCCCAGCCACATCAGCTAATTCTCTGACCCAGAACCCAACAAATGTACATCATTAGCCCCAATTACTGCATTCTGTTTGTATTCAGTTATGGTCCATGAGGATTTTAATCCTGCTTCTGAGCACAGCTGTATTTTAATTGTTTTTTCTTTTGTTATATTTTGTTTATCATTGCATTGCCATGTATTTAGGGAGTGGTGGTTAAATCGTAAACTCACAGAAGAACCATCTTGACTGAAAGTCAAGCAGTTATTTTTCCAATTCTTTGTGGAATTAGAAACTATTTTAACTGTTCGGAAAAATAGAAATAATTGTATAGATCCAATAGTAAATTTTAACTCATTGTGAATAAAAGTTATCTTTTTTTTGGCCTTAGAATGTTTAAAAGATAAAATGAAGCTATATCAAATCTGTTCAGAAAGTATGTAAGACCAAAGGGCAAGAACATCAAAAAAAGTCAAGAACAAAGAGCTGTTCCATGGCCCCAGGATGGGTATGGAGGTAGCATGGCAGTTAAAAGATGCCCAGGACTCAGAGAACTCATATTCAGAGGAATGCAGCTTGAGCCTGCAATAAGATGCACCCGAAATCCAGCCTCTATCAGGAAGTTCAAGAAGAGGGGCACCTGGGTGGCTTAGTTGGTTAAGAAGAGTCTTTGCCACTTTCTAAGACTGGCTGTCTGTAGGTCCTCAGGTAGGCAAGTGCTTCCAGTGGAACTCAAGAAACTGATGAAGCTGATTACCACTCACAGAGGGAAACCACTGCAGGAGCCTCTGTCATTTCTAGTTCTCCATCTGACTTATAGCATGGGGACTTAGAGCCACCACCCTTTGGGAACTCAGAAGAACTTCAGAAGATCCTGCAGAGGATGATGAAAGTATCATCCATATTGATTCATCTGATGAAGACCTAGAACCAATCTCTGGGAAATATTGCTCTTAGCAACATAAGAACTGCAGGACATCTTTTCAGGACTTTGGAAGCACAGAAAGAATCATGTAATGGAACATTCCAGTTGCTGTCCCCTCTTGTAACAAGGAACCCTTGCGGGCTGCCAACCTACACCTGCACAAGTTGATTCATTCACAGTCTGTTTCTGGGTTTAACAGTGACATCTGCTCAAGTATTCTATCAATTAAATCGCTGATTTCCTTCCCTGCAAGAATTTTCAAGGCCTAGCTGGAACTCCTGTGTGATCTGTCGGGTTTGTATCAGAGGTAATATAGCTGTTTAATGTGCCTGTGTTTAGATTATAAAAATTTGTGTAAATGCTGAGTGTCAAGATTCATTGCTGGTGTATTTTTCTGTGTATGGCATAGACACACAATGTTTTGCTAGTCAGTGAGATAAAACACTGGGGGACCTTCAAGGAACCATCACTCTTTTAACTCAAATCCGTTTCTCCTGGCCAGATTAGTGACACCTTTTCTGAGGAAATAATGATTACTAGCTGCCAACCCAGGTTCTCCCAAATCCATTCGTAAGTAAACCAGAGGTTTTCCTTCTTCGGTCATGCCATGATTTCTGCTGTGCTGTTTTCCAACTTTTATCTTCTCTTATGTTTAAGGTCACCTACTTTTAAGATGCATGTCACCAATAATTGCAGAGTATTCTTCTATGCCAAACAGAGGCAGCTGGTCCTCCTGTGGTTAACAGAATAGTCTCTGGAGCCATTTCATGCCTCTACTTAATGCCTAAGTGTCTAATCATCATTACACTACTCCCTAGCTATGATAACTTAGGCACCATAACTTCTTTGTCTCTTGATCTTCTCATATTAAAAATAAGGATAGTAATAACCATAGGTTTACTTTAATGTTTAAATGGTTAATATATGTGAAACACTTAAAACAGTGCCTGGCATGCTGAATACTATGTAAGTATTAGCTATTATCACTATTATCCTAAAGGATGTGGATCATGATAACTGTGAAGTCTGGTGACTATATCAAGAGAATGTTTATTAAGTGGAATCTTAAAAATGGTCATTTTTATTTGGTATATCCAAATTGATTTTGGGAAACTAAACTGTGGATATAGCACTAGTCTAGAGAGAAGCTTTGAATTCTATCACAAAGAAGGCCCTGCTCTGATTTTTAATTACAGAACAGGGAGATAAGATTGTCTGCTGTGATGCGAATGTTTATAGAAAACTAGAAAAGTAGTTCACTAATATTTGGGGTAATAATAGGAGCCAGTAAACACTGATTCTTCTGCAAACAGAGGGTTCAACTGCCTCCACTTTGGAAGGACAGACTCTACTGGGAAGAATTTGTGCCAAGCCACTTTGCATCTCATTGGCTCCTCTTTTGTATTGGCTTCTCCACTGCATGTATTCTTGCCTTCCACTTGAGCATGACTGCCCAACCCAGTGACCTGTAGCTACAGTAATGGGCCCGCATCCCCCCACAATACCTATTCAGCATGACTCTTGAATCTGGTGTGAGAAAACACTGGTTGTGAGAATTTTCCTTAAAATGTGATTTGATTATATGATAGCACTGAAGGATTAACAAACTTCTCTTCAGTCTATACAGTATATTATATTCCCTTATATTCTAGAAACACGGTAGGTAGCTCTAAAGATACCCAGCACAAGCTAGTTTTATTTTTCTGCCTATTAACGAAAAGGACACTCACTGTCTCTCCAGAAATGTGCCCATCCAGAAGCTATACCTGGATACTGCATCTCATCTGCAGAAATGAGATTATGGGACCACATCAAAATTTGCTTGCTAATTTGAGTCTTTTGTGTCCAAGCCAGGAGATGTTCTAGCAGTTTGAACCTATTTTCAGTTTCATTCTATTGTGATCTCATCCTGATGGCCTGTTTATTTTCATATTATCTGCTTACTAGATGATAAAATTTAATTATTACCAACACATTAATTATACCAGCGGCCCCAACTTGGCTGTGCATCAGGACACATAGGAAGCTTAAAGGATTAGAATCCAAGATGCACTACAGACCTGTTTCAATATTCCAAGCTAGGATTCAGTAAATTCTATGGTTAACAAACAGCCCAGGTGATTTCTATACAGCCATTCTATTCCCCAACTGGTTTGGGGAACAACTGTCTCAAAAATTTATAGAAGCAAACTAATTTTTTTAACTATTAAAACTGTACTAACAAGCATCTTTTTAAAAAAAATACAGAGAAAAAGAATAATAACTTCAGTATTCAAAGATTTCAATGATTACCCAGGAACAATATACCAGCCATTATTTGTTCATAATCACAAGGTTATGGTTGATTTTTATGACTTATCTACCAATTTAATACCTGTGACTTTAACCAAATTTCCTTTCCTGACAGGATAACTCCAACTTTTATTGCCCCATTATTGTCCTTCCTAATTAGCCAGTGCAGATATAGAAGCTGAAGCCAAGGTCATATCACTCATAAATAGTGGGGATGGACTAATAACTCAACTACTGGCTGTCATGTCAGACCCAGAACCAGCCAACTCTCTTGTTTGAATATACGGATGTGTCTACAGGACTTAAGACCCAAAATCTCCAGACATGCAGTTAGAACTCTTATACTAAGGTTACCTTTGTCAAACAAGGCATGACAACATGCATCCCTTCTCTTTGGCTCCCATGGGTAAAGGTGGAATCCAAGAGAAATTCAGATTTGGCACCCTTCGGTGGCAATTTTAGAAATATGCTGAAGATATCTACAAAAGGAGTGTACCACACATTCTTATGGAATAGCTTATTTACCTTTGGTAAGGTTAGAAGTGCTGCTTGCCCATATGCATCAAGAGAACTCTGTGAGGTCACAGATTCTTCACAGTTGAGGTCCAGAGCTAAGAACTACTGACTTTAAACTATAGAAAATTGGGGCGCCTGGGTGGCTCAGTTGGTTAAGCCTCCAACTTCAGGTCAGGTCATGAACTTACAGACTGTGGGTTCAAGCCCCGCATTGGTTTCCCTGCTGGCAGCTCAGAGCCTGGAGTCAGCTTCAGATTCAGTGTCTCCTCCTCTCTCTCTGCCTCTCCCCTGCTCACACTCTGTCTCTCTCAAAAATAAATAATACACTAACAGTTTTTTTTTTAAATAAAAAATAAACTGTAGAAAAGCAATACATTTTGAAGAATGGCTGTTGGTAATACAAATTTCAAATAACTTCATTAGAGACTAATTGTGAGTCACGTGGGTTTCCAAACCTGATCTTAATGACTTCGAAACACAGGCACTTGGGCAAGGGGCATTTTTTTTTTTTACTTCAAATTGGAGCTAATGATAATAAAAAATTGCAATGAATTTAAAGGGCTTCTTGAATTATGGTCAGACCCATATGGAGAAATTTTATATATCTGTCTATATATGGGCATATTACTCTCTGTCTATTACACAGGAGGTAAGGTCCCAGGGTGGGAACAGGAGAAGAGGTGGTCAGATAGGAGGCACACTGAACTTTGTGGGTGAGACTCAGGTTAGATCCAGTTACTGACTTTGACGGAAAAGAGGAATGGACTTTTTTCCAGATGCTAAGGTTGCTCTAGAACCAGAATAACTGGTTCCAAAGCAGAACATAAACTCCCCTCTCTTTAAGATAGAGACCTTTTCTACTTCAAAGCCAAGACTCATTTCCCAAGGGTAAAGTAAGTTTGGTAGGAAAGTGAAATAAGGTGCTGTCTGGCAAGGTCTGAGCTTTGCTGTTTTGGAAGAGCCGCTCACAGAGACCGCTTCTGGGGATTCCTTTATTCGTGTAAAAACTGAAAAGTACCTTTCTCCCCATGAGGCCCAGCCCCCGATGCCTTCTTAGTATTTGCATATGACTTCCAGGGCAAGACAGGACCATCTTTTTCTTTACTGTATCCCTGGAGCCTTGCACAGTCGTCACGATAGAATTCTATAATTCCCAGTCGATTGAGATCCCCCAACCAAGGAACTCAACTCTTGACCAGCTCTTGCTACTTTTTCATATTCTTTTCCAATTGAATATGACCTCTGAGATTCAGAAGAAAGACTGATATGAAGCCACACACGGGGGGTGCCAATTCTCCTGTTCCTTTTTACACAAGAGATCAAACATACGAATCAAATGGATCATCACTCCATGGCCGGCGACCCGCTGGGAGAAAAGGCCGACCCGTGAAGCGAGGCGACAATACCACGTGAATAGGCTTGTCCGTGGCAGAGGGTTCCAGGTAGTGAGGTCGACACTATCTTCACCTTCCTGAGAACCGATAGAGCTCTCACTCATCAGAGGAGGAGGGGATGGGCTCCTTCCTGCTGGCACTGTGCTTAGCTCGGTGCCGCTGGAGATGATTGGACCTGGTGAAGGCCTGGCCGCAGTCCTCACACTGATAGGGCCTCTCCCCATTGTGCACCCGAATGTGCTGGGCCAGCTCCGAGGCAATGCGGAAGGCCCTGCCGCACTCGGCACAGAGGAAGCCCTTCTCCCCAGAGTGGATCTGCTGGTGCCGCTTCAGGGTGGAGGAGCGCGCAAAGGCCTGGCCACACTGCGCGCAAGGAAAGGGCCTCTCGCCAGTGTGGATGCGCTGGTGGCGCGCAAGGCGCGAGGGCTGCGCGAAGGCCACGCCGCAGTCGGCGCACTTGAAGGGCCTCTGGCCGGTGTGCAGGGTCTGGTGCTCGATCAGGTTGGAGGACTTGGTGAAGCACTTGCCGCAGGTGGGGCAGGGGAAGGGCCGCTCGCCCGAATGCACGCGCTGGTGCTCCATCATGCGGCTGGCCACGGCGAACTCCCGGTCGCAAGCCGGGCAGCGGAAGGGCTTCTCGCCCAGGTGCGTGCGTTGGTGGCGCAGCAGCGACAGCGGCTTGTTGAAGGTCAGGCCGCACTCGGCGCACGGGAAGGGCTTGTTGTTGCTGTGCATGTTACGCTGGTGTTTGCGCAGGTCGGAGGAGCGCACGAAAGCCTTCCCGCAGTCCGGGCACGGGTAGGGTTTCTCTCCCGTGTGGGTGCGGATGTGCTTGCGGTGGTCCGAGGACCAGGTGTAGGCCTTGTCGCAGAAGGGGCACCGGTAGGGACGCTCGCCCGTGTGCAGGCGCCGGTGCTGCTGGAGCGTGCCCCGGTGGGAATAGGCCTTCCCGCACAGCTCACAAGCGTAGGGCTTAGTGCCTCGCGGTTGCGACGGGCTCAGCGGGCTGCTGGGCTTCTGGAAGGCCCTTCCTCCCCGCAGGCACTTGAAGGGGTGCGCCTCCCCTTGCCCGCCCTCACGCATGCCCTCGGGGTTCTGGCCCTTCCTGCCGACCCGCGCTTTGCCCAGCACCTTTGCTGCCAGGCCGGCTGGGGAGGCTGATCCCCGCGCTGGTGTGTGAGTCTCCTGCGTGGGGAGGTCCCAGCTGCCACCCGGCTTGGGGAAACGCGTGAGGGGCGAGTTGTCTGGGGTGTCTACACCCTTCTGTGCACAGAAATATCTTCCAGTATCAGGGAAGCTGGATGGAACACCCAAGGCAGCGTCCAGCTTTTCCCTGAAGTCTCCATCATCGCCTGCAGGTAGTGAGTCCCTAAGCGGTTGCATTGGACCTAACTTGCGTGAAGGGTCTCTGGGGAGGGTCTTCGGAGCTATCCGTGCTCCAGAGGAGTCCTGGGCCTCCGTGATCCTTGGCTCATCTCTTCCCCAGCTGGCCTTCTTCCCAGGCATCCCCACTGGTTCCTTCCCCAGGCTCGCACGACTATCGGGGCCAGAGAATTTCTCTTCCTCACTGGATGGATGATGCCACAGCAAGTCAGGATTGTCCTGAGCCACTTGAGAGCTGCTTCTTGGACAGGCCTGGTGATCAAGGCTCCCTTTGTCCCCTGCCTCTGCGCCATCCTCATTCTCACTCTCTAAGCTCATGCTCAGCCTCAGGGGGTCATGAGCATCCTCAATGGTGCTGGCAAGAGGAGACCCCTTGCCCCACCTGTCCTGGGGGTCCACCTGTGTCATGATGTTCAGACACTTCTATTCCTTCTCCTCCTAGACAGAACCTTTGCTTGGCTCAGGATACCTGCAAAAAAGGAAGGTATGAAGAGAAATCACAAAGAACGTACTTAATCGCCTTCATGGCCAAAGGGACTGAGGTTCTCACTACAGATCTCTTTCCAGCTGGTGGCTGTGCTGGCCACATCGCTGTGCCTCACTGGCAAGGAGGAGTGGGCCCTTCTGAGAAACCCACAGTCATCCTTAATCACGTTAGAGATCCACTTGCTAGAAGCTCCAGCAGAGGATGTTGTCAGGGATGGCAAGGGTGGGATGTGTGCTCAGTGCCAGCCGCGCCCTGCCCTGTTCAGGGGACTCAAACCCCAACTGCTGGCCAGGTGGCTTCTCTATGAGCCAGGCCAGGAAGCAAGGTCTGGAGTCTGGTTCTCCTCAGGCTTCTTAAACTGTTGGCCCACCTGGGAAGCTAAAAACCAAGCTAGCTCCTGAGGTCCCTGCTGGGTGTCCAAGTCCGCCATCTCTCGGTGGCATCAGCTAGGGCTGCCTCCCAGGCTCTGGGCTGTGAGGCCATGCCTTCCAAAGACAAGGAGCAGCCACTGGGAGAATGAAGATGGCTCAGGAAGACACCAGCATGTACCTGAGAAGATATCCAGCTGCCCCTCACTGCTATTTTTTATTTTTTTATTTTTTAATGTTTATTTATTTTTGAGAGAGAATGTGAACAAGTGAGGAGCAGAGAGAGAGGGAGACAATGGAATCTGAAGCAGGATCCAGGCTCTGAGCTGTCAGCACAGTGCCCGACACAGGGCTCAGACTCACAAACCGTAAGATCATGACCTGAGCCAAAGTCGATGCTTAACTGACTGAGCCACCCGGGTGCCCCTGCCCCTCACTGTTTAAGCAGGGCTTCTCAGGCCTACTGGGGAGGTGGTGAACATACACACACTGGGGAGGGGACTTGAAACTCAAACTATCCTTAAAATATTGCTTCATCTTAACAATATGTATATAAGTGACAAATCATGGGCATCTACCCCCAAAACCAAGAGGACACTGTATACACTGTATGTTTGCTAACTTGACAATAAATTATATTTAAAAAAATATATCGCTTCATCTTAAACGTTCATGAGAATTTACACTGTAGGTCAAGTTGATTTTGTTTATATCTTTTGTTTTATGTATTCTTATGGAAACATTTTTTATTGACGTGTAATTGACATGCAATATTTACATATTTTTAATTTTGGTAAATCATATACACGTGTATATATGTATGTATATACACATTAATCATGTTTCTTTTTCTTTTCCACTAAGTACTATATCTTTTTTTTTTTTCCAAAGATGGTGTTTTAAGTTACCTTCAGTTTAAATGTTTAACTTTTCCCCTTTAAGCATACCATATTTATCCCATGGCCTGATGTATTTCTGGCAAACCCAACGTGCCCCCAGGGATGCACATACCCTGATTTGAGAAGCATAGACTTAAGGTTTTGAGAGCAAGTCATGAGACAAGGAAGCCATTGAGTTTTATTTTCTGAGTGATTTTACTTTAGCTTGAAGACATGGAGAAAGCCTGCCGGCGTTGACTAGTAAGGATTGTTTGTGTGAGTGAAACATTTTACAGGAGTGGCTGCAGTGAGAGGCAGGCTCCTGCAGGCCTGGGGGATAATGGTAGCAGTTCCACTCTCTGGGCAGACATTATGAGCCAGATGGAATGCTGAGCGCCTCACAAGCATGATTTTATTTATTCTTTCCAGCAGCCCTTAAGAGAAATGCTGTGACTATTAATCTTTCCATTTTACAGACCAAGAAAGTAAGGTTTCATGAAGTCTCCTACCTGCCCAAGGCCGCACTGCTCACAGACAGCAGCCCCAAGGCTTCCCTTTAACTTCCAGGCCACCATGTTACATCCTGAGCCTTAGGGCCCACCTCCCAGATGTGGCCTCTGGCTGGAGGCCTGCCCTGGGGCCGGGCCCTGCCCAGGAACAGCCACAGCATCCTGGGGGAGAGCCACTACTTTCTGCAGGCATCAAAGCGCCTTGTGTTTTCTGAGCCAAGGAGCCTTGGCTCTGGGGCCTCACCCCTGGGCTCCTCCCCACTCCTGTTGACCCAAAGTGCCCTCCGCAGAGAAAGAGGCCAGGACACATGCTGTGGCGACTGTTGCCTGGGGTGGTCAAAAGTATTAGTCACTGAGTATTTACTTTTGGAAAGCTCCTTCTTTCCTCCTCCGCCCACCTTCCACCTTCCACCATCTCAGGCGGGATAAGAAGAGCAATCTCTGCACTTGGTGTGGCTCCAATGCGCTCCCCGTATAGCAGGAGGCATTCTATTACCCCAAGATGTAGTCATTCATTCAACAGATGTGTCTCAAACACTCAAAATCATATGCGTGTGCATCAGTAAGGGTCTCAGAGCCTTGTTTTCCTTCATCTGAAAGACAGAAGGTAATACACCTACTGTATCATCTATGTGAACCTCCTGCATGCAGCTGGTGTTCAATGACTAGTACACTGTCCCTTGTACGATGAGCTCCTCTGCACCCCAGAGGGGCTTCTAGGAGCTGTCTAGATGGACAGCCACAATTCGGTGGCCAAGGTTCACACAATAAAGTCATGTCCCAGCCCCACCTCATCAAACTGTCCTTCCCCCAGCTCCTCCTGCCTGGTCATAATCCCAGTTATTCTGTGTGTGAGCATGTGTGGGTACATGTGTGTGTTTATAGGAGGGGGGCAAAGTGGGGGGACCCTCACTTTGTACTTGGAAACAGAAGTCACAGACCAAGGGAGGATGTGGTCCAGTGGTGGCTGGGGTCCAGCATCTAATGTCCCTTTGTGCCCTGAAGCCCAGGGACCACTTCCTCCTTCGGAGCGCTCTGCTCTATCCCCATTACCATGTCAGAGTGTGGCTAGCTTATCCCTTGAAAGGAAACCAGGCTCGATGTATTTTCAGCACACTGGTTCTCAGAAGAGTGGCTGTGTGTGTGTGTGTGTGTGTGTCTAGTTAATAGAAGGGACACAGCACAAGCCAGCTTTACATGACTTACTCAGGCCAGTGCGCCCAATCAGGGACTGTGGTCCACCAGCAGGGACAGCAAAGGGATGCTGGATTTGATTGAGATAGACTTCTTAAGCTTCTTTCTTTCTCTGCGCATGCTCATACGGAACTACTTGCAGACAACTTACTTCGCCTGCCCCCACCCCGCTCCAACACACAGACCCTGTTGTACATACGTGTCTCGTTCCCCTTCTTCTGGGCCACAGGTGAGCTCCTCAGGGCGGCACGCAGCGCTCCGCCAGCTCACAGCTTCTCAGACGCCTGACAGGAGATGGTCTTTTCAGGTGGGAAGTCCCTCCCCTGTCTGAGCCACAGCCCCAGGGGATATATCCTGTTTTCTTCCTTCTGTAGCTGCCAGACGTTCTCGCTTGACCACCAAGAAGACCAACAGGAAGGCAGGGGCTCAGGCGAGGACTTTCTGGCAAAGCCTACGCAAATATTCCTGGTCTGGAAGAACACTGATGCCATGGTGTGGCGGGTCCCTCTGCTCTGCAGATCTGCTGACCCCCAGAGGCTGTCAGAGCACAGCCCCGACTTGGAACGCCACCGCACTTGCCAGCCAGGAGTGGCCCAAATGTAAGCCTTACTTACCTCAGACAGGGACACCTTGCGGAAGCCTGGCCTGAGGGCTTGTTCTGGCTCCAGCCTCTGCCCCTCTTCCTGCTTTCCTTCTATAGATTGTTCTAGGTCTATCCCGGGGCAGCCACCTCCCACCTTCTCCTCTGCCTTCAGGCCTTGCTCTCTACCTTTGGCTCTGACACAAATAGTTGCTTACCTGGGAAGTGCACACAGCTGCGTGGGTCCCCCACCCTGGCTTCTGTCACACGTGGCCTCTCAGCCACTGGAACCAGAGTTTGGTACAAATCGGCGGAGGTGGTGTCTCTGTCCCTCACTCTTTTGTGTCCAGTCCAGCAGCTGCAGAGAGAGCTTTAGGAGGTGGGGCCAGTGTAATACACTCGACCTTCCTGCCTGCATCCCAGAGAGCAGCCTGGGAAATACAGTGGGGCTGCCCTCTCTCACTGCCTGAAAGATCTTGCCTCCCCTCTGCTCCCGCCTCCCCTCCTGCCAGAGCCTCCCTCCTTCTCCCCTCCTCCCTCAGAAAGGTTGCTCAGGCCTCCCGCAGGTGGCCTTTCCCTCCAGCTCAGGCTCATTCCTTCTCCCCAGCAGAGCAAGCAGTCCAACCTTCGTCCTGCCCTGATAAGTCCATAGACCACTGTCACACACGCACTTCCTGGGGAAGCATGCTGTTTCCCTCCCCGGCAGGCAGGACAGGGTATACTATATTCCCACCTCCCCTATTCTGGTGCCTGCCATTTGTAGAGCTGTGGTTTGATGAAGGGGTGTTCCCAGAATTTTTTGAAGTACTCATTGGCTCAAAGGTGGGGCATTACACAGCACGGTGGGATGCGGGGAGATTATTTTCTCTCCTAATTCATATGGATACCTGGAACCTCTCTTCATCCTTCAGCACTGGCTCCCATGCAGGTTCATTTTGAAGAATAAGATTGGCCCAGGATATGAGACTCACTCTGTCCAGAACTTGTACCCACTCAAGTCTAATGTGTCTTTATTAGGGTAAAAGCTCAGGACATTAAAACAGGAGATGGGAGGAGGGTACCTGTGATGTCCCTGAATAGCCAAAAAGGATACTGGTTGACAGCAGGGTTGTGGGACGGGGCTATCTTACCACTCACTAGCTGTGCAACTTTGGGTGAGTTATGTAACCACTCTGTGCCTTAGCTTCTCATCTGTGAAATGAGAATCCCCATTTGATGGAATCAAATGATGGCATCCCCATCATGGGGGTCTTGGAGAATCAAATATGCTATTGCTGTGCCCCCAAAAGTCAGCTGCCCTCAGTGCTACTACTGCTGCTGTTGTTTCTAGAGAAGACATGGCTCAAGGGGCTCCTTTTGATTCCAGTGGCCTTGTTAGGGCTGCAACTCTGACAGCAGTACTGACACTTAACCCATTTTTCTGAACAGCAATTTTCTGAGTGTGATCCAGAAAAGCAGATCTATCTGCACCTTGGAGTTTTAGAGCTGTGGCTTCAGAGGGAGGTAGAGGCAGATAGTAGAGATAGCAGAGATGCCTCTAGGTCCTTGAGTCTCAAAGTCTAGAACAGAATTCAAACCCTCTTTTCCATAGAACCCCTGAAATAAACAGCAGAGTGCTACGGGTATGTGGATATGCTCTGTTTGAGCAGGAAGATCCTTGGAGATCACATATTTCTCAAGGGGGCCATGATCCAAAAAAGGTTGAGAACTATTGGTGTTGGTAGGGATGGTGTAGGAGGGGAAAAATAGACTCTTAAAATAAGTTGTCTCACACAGCAACTCATCGGAGGGTTTGCCACCAACTGCATCCCAACGCTGTTGCTCAAAATTTCTCAAGTGGCCATGTGGTAGAGGCTTGGGCTTCAGACACCTTTGGCAAAGAAGTGGCTCCATTCCTCACAAGGGGCCTGTGGTGGTGAGAGCTGGGGCTGGGGTCAGCCTGTGTGTGTCCCGTCCCACTCCAGCTTCACAGCGATGAGGTATGTGCACTGAGCTTTTCCTCATGCTAACACTATGCTAACACACCACGTGCAGTGTCTCCATTAATCTTCAGCACATTTTGATGGAGTGGCTATTGTCCATGTTATTCCCATTCACAGACTGAGGATACTGAGGCATAGACAGCTTAGCGCATTATCTAAGGGAACAGTGGAGCTGTGATCGATTCTGAGCTGTTAGGGTCACATTCTTTTTTAAAAAAAAAAAAATTTATGTCTTTATTTTATTTTGAGAGATGGAGACAGAGAGTGAGTGGGGGAGGGGGAGAGAGAGAGGGAGACTCAGAATCCAAAGCAGGCTCCAGGCTCTGAGCTGTCAGCACAGAGCCGACAAGGGGCTCAAACCCACAGACTGTGAAATCACGGCCTGAGCCAAAGTCGGACACTTAACTGACTGAGCCACCCAGGCGCCCCTAAGGTCAAACTCTTAACCACTACAGGACAAGTGGCCACACACTGTCCCCTCAGAGTCTGCATGGTTGGCCTTTGCCTGGCTCCACCCTCATTTTCTCCTGAAAACTATTAGTCCCGCCACCCCAAGGCTGTGTGACCTATGTGTGTGAGGTCACTGCAGTCACTATCCCAGAAGATCTCTTCCCTCAGTACAGCTGCCCAAGGAGACAATGGTTCCATTGAATGCCTACCTGTTGATGTCCAGCCTGGACAGCCTGTTACTCGTCATGCTTAATTTCTAGAAGCTGTAACAAATACTTAATTACCAGATGCCAGGGGACTTCCATGTTAACTTGCCCACTTTGTCTCCTCATTGGTTTTCAAGGCATAGTGTTGTTATCATGTCACTAGTATGACCTAGGCCACCTAGCAATGAATGGGGTAAGGAGTGGCCCAGATGCTACCTACATGGAAAAATAACATGTGCCTTATATCTCCCTGAGTCACCTACCCTGAGATGTCCCCTTAGCCATCTTAAAAATCCCGCTTTGAGTTATAGCACACTTTTTCTATATATGAGACTTCACCATCCTGATGAGTTGTGCACAGGGCACTGCTCAGGTATCAGAACTGCACTCTGGGTCTTGCTCAGACCACTGGTCAACCTGCTGCTCAGATCCCTGTTGTTTCCTGGACGCCTTCCACTTCTGATAGCACAAGCACATTCACTGTCTCATCCAGTCTTCCCAACAGTCTCTGTAGGGACCCCAGACATTGGAATGAAGGGACTTTCCCCTAGGACCACATCTTCCCCACCTTTTAAAGAAATTTTGGAATTTATATCATTTGGCTCAATCCTATGGTGTGGAAACAAGGGAGACATTGTTTTTACTTACTTGTTATTATTGACAAGTCTGCCTTCAAAAGCTGGTATTGTCCCACAGCTGTGCTGACTGGCAGTGGTGAAAATAAGGGTCCTCTTGCCTGTCTGTCTGGGAAGGGAATACAGTAGAGATGGAGAGAGAAGCATAGACAGTAGGAGAAAGGCACCTAGTCCCCACTAGGCACCATGTAGGGGCCCAGCAGTGTCTGTGAACTATAGGGATGGCTGAAGGGAACTGAGTGACATAGGAAATAGGCCAGACTGACCCTCTACCTGGAGGGTGCCTGGCACTTGGCTGAGTTGGTGAACCATGGCTGAGTCTGGATATTGGGTCAGATAGTAATTCTGAGAGGACCTGAGAGTCTTCCCAAGTTCTGTAGATGAGATTCTGAAGCCTGGACCCTCTCCCCTGCAGGTTTCCCCAGGCTCTGCCGCCAGCTGTCACCAATCTGTTTCCTTGCCTCTAGCCCTGCATCATCCTTGAGGAAGATTAATGGAGCCGCTTAACACAGTAGTGTTGTTTTTCTCTCAGGCATCAAACTTTGTTGAGTAAGCGTGTACAAGTGAGAAGCAGAATTGTAGGTGGGATAGGAACTGGGTACATGATCTTAGGTTAGACACATCTGGCTTTGAATCCCAGTATTTGTTAGATGACCTTGATCCATTTCCTTAATGTCTCTGAGTCTCAGGCTCTCTGTCTGTAGAGTGAGAATACCTTCATTGACAGGCTTATTGTGAAAATGTCCTGAAACAATATTTTTAGAGAACTTAGTCCAATGTAACTATATAGCAATTTTTCAGTAAGATGTATTATTGTTTTTATCCTATAGCTGGTGGAGTGTGATGATGTCTTTATCCCATCCCTGCTCTTCTAGAATGATTTTCATTAATTACCTGCCACCAGAAAGCCACCATTTTTCTGGCTGACTCTGGTCTCCTTGTCCCAAGCATCCTCACCAAGAGGCCAGTCAAGCAGGCTTTCAATGACATTCCTAGAGCAGTGATGTCATAAGCCTGGGCTCTTCATTATGTGCTACACTCAACACAGGTAATCAGTGACGGGGTGGGAGGTGAGTGCTCCAGGCAGGATGACAAGACATGGTGATGACTCCGAACGCCAGTACTTCCCAGCACCTCCTGCAGAAGAGCACCAGGCGGACACCATGACCGTTGGCCACCAACTCCACCTGCCCCTGGTGAAGGCTGCCCAGTGTAGAGACAGAGCATGCAGGCTTTGGAGTCAGGCTGCCCGGGTTAGTTAATCCTACCCATAACACTTGCTGCATGACTGTGGGCCAGTCACTTAAACTTTCTTTGTCTCAGCCTCTTGAACTGTAAATTAAGGTTAATGATAGTTATCTACCTTACAGAGTTGTGGGGATTAAATGAGATGATGTGGCTTGCAGAGTGCAAGAATTCTACCAATATTAGATAATCATAATATAATTTGGGGAGGGGGAAACTAGCATCTGCTGTAGTCCAAACATCAGGAAGCAGTAGAGGATGCCTGGATGGGTCAGTTGGCTAAGCGTAGACTCTTGGTTTGGGTTCAGGTCATGGGACTGAGCCCTGTATTCAGCTTGGCGCTGTGGAGCCTGCTTAGGATTCTCTCTCTCCCTTTCTCTCTGGCCCTCCCCCTCCCCCTCTCAAAATAAATAAGCAGAAAGAAAGAAAGAAAGAAAGAAAGAAAGAAAGAAAGAAAGAAAACAAGCAAACAGTGGAGAACCCCACCTCTGGTCTCCTCCAGCTCTCCTGAGGCCTTACCCTATAGATGCGCTACAATCAGGTGCCACAGACCAGAATCTCTTGGTGACTCTCCAAGAAGACCAGTCCCCTCCTGGCTCCTCAAGACCCACCCTGTGCGGTAGTGGCCTTCCCAGGTGGCACCAAAACCCCTAGCCTACATTGTAGGAGAATGAGCGATCAGCCACAGGATGGGAATCTCTGAGGTTCATGGGCCCTCTGGATACAACAGGCCAAACACTCAGAAACTCACTCTCTCTATTGATATAGTAGCACATTTTCTTTGCTGGGGGGATAACACACCCTTCCAGGCCACAGAGCCTCCTCCCTATTCCACCTCAACCTTGGGACCATGTGGACGACAAGGAGAGAACACCACAGACAGGACTTCCAGGAATCTCCTGTACTCGAGGTTGGCCTCCTGCCTTTGCTGGTCCTTCCGGGCTCTGAGACAAGTCTGGGAGCTGCTAGAAGAGAAGACATTGCATGTCTTTAGTTAATGAACACATCGAAATAGAACCCTCTGCACTCTTCTATCAGTGGGAATTGTTTTAAGTACGGATTCCGGGGCCTGGGGCATGATGAAGCTGCTGGAAATTGAAGAAAAGGCATCAGGTCCCAGAATTTTGAATGAAAAGATCTTAGAAGCTATTTAGTGCTGTCCCTCTGTTTTACAGTTGCTAAGATACAAGCATTCACTTGGTGGTTCCATCTTGCGTTTATTCATTCATCAAATATTTGGCGAGCATCACTCAATGCTTTCCAAACTGTGGGACAAAACTTGCGAACAGGACAGGGAATCACTTTAGTGGGTCACACACCAACGTTCTTTGTTGAATAGAATGGAGTAAAACAGAACAGAATAGAGTATAAAATTTATCAGAAAAATCTCACACATCGTAAGAAAACTTTAGTTTTGAGGGTTTTTTTTTTTAATTTTAGTTTTATATATGTGTGGAGTTGTAATGGCAACTGTGTTTCTTACTCTGGTTTGCTTTGATTCTTGGTCAAAAATTTGAAAAACACTCTACTTGGTACCAGTCTGTACCAGTGTAGAAGAATAGCTGGGGCATCTGGTTAAATATGGTGATTCCGGGGCACACTCCCAGGGGTTCCTCAGGTCCAGGAGGGTCCTGGAGTCTGCACTGTGACAAGTGCATGCAGGATCCTGAAGCCCGAGTCCTAGGTACACGAAGAAGTGCTGCTCTGAGCCAGGCGCCGACCCTGGCTGGTGCAGGGGAAGGTCTCGATTTGCAGGGCTTAGCATGGCCTCGCAGCGTGCTGGAGAACCCCAGGCACCGCAGGTAGCTCCACCATGGGCCGCCAAGGCTGTGGGCTGCAGGGAGGAGGAGGAGAAATTGGCTTTGCCTGGGCCCTGTGGAAGTCTTTCCAAAAGAAACGTCTTTTGAGTTGGACCTTGAAGGATGAGTTTGAGTTTGCCAAGAAAAGAAGGGGAGGGAAGGGGCCTCACTACTGTCAGGAATTTCACACCGTATTCCTTGGGCCCCTCTGTTCTCGGGGTGCAGCCCTCCCTGCACGCCAGTCTGTGCTGGGATGGGCGTCCCGGCTCTCTGGCTCCCCCTCCGGCTCACTGGAGCATCGCCACTGGGATTCGGGCTTTGGCGCAGCTGCTAGGGCTTCCAACTCCCCTGCCCTTCTGGCCACACCACCTCCAGCCGCTGGCCACGGTACAAGGGGCCTTTTCTTTCCAAGGCCCCCACCAAACACACATGCTTCTCCTCGCAGCTGTCTAGCTCGGCTGCCTGAACACAGAGGTAATTCACAGGAGAGGCGTTTGAGGTTTCCATGAAAAAACACCTCCTCCTTCCTTTTTTCAACTGCTGCCCTGAGCGAAACTGGACAGAACTTCTCTTCTTCACGCTCTGGCCCTGGGTGTGAAGCTGAGATTCTGGAAGGAAATTCCCTTTAGGGCCCCCGGAATGCAACATTACTCCATCCGTGTGCCCTCTACTGGCTGGAGCCAACTGAGGAGTGGTCGTGTCCCATACCCCAGCCATGGAAAGACCTCGAAAACAAGTCTAGCCAGAGGATGTGGGTGGAGGGTGCAGATAAAAACACAAACAAAATTATAAGCGATTATAAAAAAAAAAAAGACACACGTTGCACGGTTTTATGCCATTATATTTGAACAGTGAGGCAAATTATGTCCTTGTTGGTAAGAATAAAGTTAAAATCTTGTATTCAGAATAAAAAGTATCAACAACCTGCTAGTGGCTGTGCCTCATGAGGTGAAAGTGCCTCGGCCAACTCCAGTCCTCAGCCTGGCAGAAACAAACCTGATTTTGAAGGGACATCCCAAAGTGATGGGGCTCATGGGGTCAGGGCAGAGAGGTGAGGATCCTAGACAGGGCTGCTGTGGAGGTGATGGAGGTGAGAACCCAGAGTATCTGGATTCAGCTCTTCAGCCAAGTTTCTTCATCCAGGAGGAGCCAGAGGGGAAAGGAGGATGAGAAAGGGCAGAAATTCTTGGCACAAAGACATATATCATTTTCTACCTGGAGAAATGGGGTGTGGGTGAGGATTCCAGGCAGAAGAACAGGAAATGCAAAAGCCCTTAGTTCAGATACTGCCACGCTTGTCTGAGGGACAGCGAGGAAGGGGGTGTAGCTCAGGGAGGGACAGCAAGAACAGAGGTCAGAGAAGTAGCAAGGGGCTGGTTGTGTAAGACCCTGGGGATTCTGTAAGGACTTGGCTTTCTTTGGAATAACGTGGGAACTCTTCAGAGGGTGTTTGGGTAGACAGGAGGCATTAATTCATTAATTTGACAAATATTTTGCACCTGCTATGTGCCAATTCTAGTTTCAGACGTTATAGTTTTATCAATGAGCAAAACAAACAAATCCAAGCCAAAGAAAACTGATACTAACCACAAAAGTCTCTATTATAAAAGAAGAAGGGTCTCAAATGACATCCTCAGTTTCCCCCTCAAGAAACTGGGAAAAACAAGAAGATCAAAGTAAACCCGAAGTAGAATAAACGGAACAATAACGATCGGGGCAGAAATTAATAAGAGAGAAAATAAATGCAATAGGAAAAAAAACTAGTGAAACCAGAAGGTGGCTGTTTGAGAAGATCAATAAAATCGATAACCCTTAGTCAGACTCAACAGGTTTGAAAAAAGAGAGAAAATGCCAACTACTAATATCAGGGATGGGAGCAGTGACATCTCTACAGATTCTACAGACATTAAAAGGGTAATAATAAGGGAATATTATAAACAGCTGTATCACAATACATTTGACAGGTTAGAATAGAAAAATTCCTTGAAAGAAATTCACTACCAAAGTTTGGTCAAGGAGAAATAGATAATGTGAACAGCCCTGTGTCTATTAAAGAAATTGAATTTGTATTTAAAAACCAGCACACAAAAAGAACTCCATGTCCAGAGACCGGGTCTCTCTACTGCCTCCTTGCTGGGTCAACAGGTGCAGGAAACTCTCAGAAGGGCATGATCCTGGACAGGTATCTTTAGTGGTAAATTCTATAAGAATATTTCACTGATGGGATGTTGTGAGGCGACACATTCAAAGTGCCTTGCATCTCCCTAAAATCCCTCCTCACTCCCCACATTTGTTAACATTTCTTTGCAGGTCTTTGCCCCTATAACAGGTTGCAACTGTCCTCAGAGCAGGGGCACCTATGATTCTCAGCCAGGTCCCCAGGTCCTCTGACCACAATGGAGAAACAGTTTACTGAGCCAAAGACCCGATGCCAAAATGTCATATCTTATCTAGCAACAAGTGAGGGCAAGATGAAGGTGTCTTGTCTACAGCCTACCTAGCACACACATGGGAGCACATCTACATTTGTATCTCCTCCACCTTTAAAAAAAAATTTTTTTTAAATGTTTTATTTCTTTCTGAGCGAGAGAGAGAGAGAGACAGCATGAGCAGGGGAGGGTCAGAGAAAGAGGGAGGCACAGAATCTGAAACAGGCTCCAGGCTCTGAGCTAGCTGTCAGCACAGAGCCCAACATGGGTCTCGAAGCCACAAACTGTGAGATCATGACCTGAGCTGAAGTCAGATGCTTAACCGACTGAGCCATCCAGGTGCCCCTTTAAATTTTTTTAATGGTTTATTTCTTTCTGAGAGAGAGAGACAGCGTCACCTCTTTTTTTTTTTTTTTAATAAAGTCACAATTACTATTCCTCCACTCACCCAGACTGAAAACCTGAGTGTCAAATTGGACCTTCTCACACTCTGCACATCTGATTAGTCACTGACTCCTATATCATATTCCTTCTCCTTCCTCAATTTCTAATATATAAGGCTTCATCAAGGGCAAAAGCTTCTAACTCACTCCCTCAAAATGATTCATTTGTTCATTTAATAAATATCGACTGCTTAGTAATCATTTGATATTGTCCAACAAATATATCCAGTTTCTCCCTTCTTAGTATATTGTAGGATTTTATTCCCTGGTCCCTTGTGGTTAGTCAGGACCATAATTACTTCTGGCCAGTGAGGTGTGAGTATCCTTCAGACAGAGCGTGCATTTTTCTCTCCGGGACTCCACGCTCCCTTTTCTCTCTCACTTGGCAACCAGCAACATTGGAGAGGGTGGTACCTCCGTCATCCAGCAACCTGGATCCCTGAGTGGTTATGGTGAGTAGAGCCTCTATGCAGACACAGAGAACATGTAGCAGGAGAGAGAAATAAACTTTCCTTTTTAATTGTAAGCCCCCAACCCCCCAAAATAAATGTAAGAATCAGATGCTAAAGTCTGTTAGATGTCGATAAGTGCTATGGGAAAAATTGAACA